CGGAATGCGGCACGACGACGACGACGACGACGACGCGACGATGATGATGACGACGTTCTTGCTACATACAAGCGCTTACGGGTACTCTCTCGTATTGTTCGATATGTCACGTCAGGCGACGTCGTTTTCTAAAGTCTCACGCGCACACTTACACGCGCGTAGATATGCTAAGTATCCAGACGCGAGAAGATTTGAGAGGCGGAAACCTCGTTACGTCTTCTCGAATACATAGTAACAACGTGGTTAAACAGAGAAAGGCAGAGAGCGAGCGTTTTTCGTAACCGCGCCGATCTTCCGCGAAATACAGACGCGACGGCGTATTGGCATGTAAAACGCGCCGGTAAAAAAAAAAATGCATGATTCATTTGCGAACGATACACAGGAATTTTCTACTGTACATACAGGAAGTCGGCGCCGACAATATTCAAACCTGTAAAATCTCTGCGATGTTACACAGGCATAAATATACATCAGCGCGAGCTCCGGCATTTCGTTACGTGCGAATATCATATGCGAGAATACGGGGTGACAATTAAACAAACGAAATGGTCTCGTAGCGTGGCACACACGCGAGCAAACGTATCTCTATGCGCAAATACGCGTGCCTCCGTTACGTATACACAACGCTACGCTAATTTGCACCGTGTAAGGACGTTTCGTCGACGGTGACCTATTTATGGCGTTCAGACGTGTGTGTAGTCGGTTTAACGGGATTGTCCCTTGTACTTGCTATAAATCGAGTTAAGCCCTGGCGCCGTTCGATATATATGTGACCCAAGGTGGCTCAAATCGACCGTAAATGCAACGACGCTTTAAATTCGAATCTTGATGGGGGGGAACGATTGCGCATTCGAATATTAAAAAATTTATTTAAAAAAAAACAGTATCATCTACGATATAGAAGAATATAATATTTAATAGCATATAACACACAATCATACACGGAGAAAACACTATGGATATCACTTCAGGAAATATAGTTGCCCCAACAAAATAGTAATGTTATTTTTCGCCCATGCGTACACCATGGTTGTAGAAACCATA